GTGAGCTTTTCACAGCCCATTTTACGTGTTCATTTTGGTTGGCAAATGCAACATTCATTTGTGAAAATGAAAACCTGGGGGTTGGCCTTGTGGCACACTGGGTTAGGCTGCCCCCTGTGAGGCAAGCATCCCATATCAGAGCACCAAATCAAGTCCAGGCTGCCCTGCTGCTGCCAGTTCCCTGCTCATGTACCTGGGAAGGCAGTGGAGGATGTCCCAAGTATTTGAGTCCCTTCCAACCAGTGGGAGACCCCCCCCAGATGGAGTTCCTAGCTCCTGGCTTCCACATGGCCCAGCCCCAGCCATTATAGCCATTTGGGAAGGTAACCAGAGGATTTAAGATCTTTGTCTGTCTGTCTCTCTGTTATTCTGCCTTTCAAATAATGAATAAATCTTTTAAATCATAAAATATTTAAACTATGCAGAACTGCTCCTGTGGAAAACGCCCAGCACCACATCACTTGTAATTGATGCTGTGATTACAGGAGACCCTCTTGAGTCATGTCTCACTTTATAACAGACATGCCCTGGGCTTCCCCCACAAATAAATTGTGGAAGTCATCTGCAGTATAGGCGTTCAGATTTTCGTATCTGAGAAAAACGTTGCCTGGGCCTGATGTTGTGACACAGTGAACGGAACTGCTGCCTGCAGTGCCAGCAGTCCATCCTGCAGTGCCAGTTTGCATCCTGGTTGCTCAGCTTCCAATACAATGCCATGCTGTTGTGCCTGGGGAGGCATGGAGAATGTCCCATGTCACTCATGTGGGAGATCTGGATAGCGCACTGGACTCCTGGCTTTGGCCTGGACCAACTCTGGCCTTTGAAGGCATCTGGGGAGTAAACTACTAGATGGAAGATCTTTTGCCTTGTTCCCCTATCTCTGTAACTCTTCCTTTCAAATAAATAAGTAAATAAGACTAGTGATTGTATACCAGGAACATTTGTTTCTGTGACCAAAAACCCCAGTCATACCTTGCCAAGAGATGTGACCTCCTCCTCTGCTCTGCCTCTCGGAATCGCTTCCACCAGGTCCTCAGGAGCAGCTAGGTGAACCAGGGGTAACTGTCAAGTGTTGTGGATGAGTTCGGCAGGGAGACTTGCTTGCTGTGGACATGGGCCTAATCTGTGTGTGGGTGATTGGTGAGCAGTGAACAATGTCAAGAGTTCTGTGCTGCACTCAGTAACAGAGCAAGAAAAAGACAAGCCAGTCCTGCACCCACAAGTAGCAGGAAGGCCACCTGATGTGGGCTTGGAACTGCACACGTGCCACTGCTGGACCATCCTCCCTGGTGGATGACAAAGCCCAAAAGAGGAGCAGGAAAGAAATGAGAAGGAGAGTTTTGGCTTTCTTACTACCAGCAACCAAATGAAACAGTCAATTTAGAAATGAAACAGTCAATTTAGAAAAAGGCAACTGCTATAGTGCACTGATTCCTTGATGATGCCTCATCATTGCTCCTGCCCAAAATGGGCGTGGAAATGCCCAAATTGTAGACCATGGAAATCCCCACATTTTTCTTGTTGTGTCCCAAGATCATTTACCTCCATGAATCTACATAAGCAGCTATTACATTTGCCATCTTTCCTTTCAGGTATTTTTAAATTGCTGTGGGCAAGTAGACATTTATTATCTGAATCACTTGTAAGTGAAAATTTCAGTGGCATGAATTACTTGGCAGTGCTGTGTAAGCACCACCCCTGTGTGCCCCAACTATTGTCATCATACCCAATCTAAACTCTGCATCTATAACGGAAGAACATTACCGTCTCCTCCTTCAATCCCCAACTAATCTGTACTTCCAGTCCCTTTGAATTTGCCTAGTGTAGACATGCCATTGTATTAGAAACATACAGTGTTTGTCTTTCTGTGTCCACCTTAATACAGTGTCATGTGTTACCATGTCCATCCCTGGTGTGATATAAAACTTTAATTCAGTTTTACACATTTTAAACTCTTCCATTGTGTTCATATAGCACATTGTCATTACTCATCCATTTGTTGGTAGATACTGGGAAATAACCCAGTTTTTGTTGTTTCTACTTTCTGCTTGCTGTGAACACTTAGGTACAGAGAGATACCTGCTTCATCATCTGCTGTCCACTTTTTGGTGATACACAGAGTGTGACAGAAAGGGAGAGACTACCTCAAAAAAGCCAACATATGGGCCGGCACCATGGCACAGTATGTTAATCCTCTGCCTGCTGGGCCGGCATCCCATATGGGCACCGGTTCTAGTCCCAACTGCCCCTCTTCCAGTCCAGCTCTCTGCTGTGGCCCAGGAAGGCAGTGGAGAATGGGCCAAGTGCTTTGGCCCCTGCACCACGTGGGAGACCAGGAGGAGACACCTGGCTCCTGGCTTCAGATCAGTGCAGCTCCAGCCCTTGCAGCCATTTGGGGGGTGAACTAACAGAAGGAAGATCTCTCTCTCTGTCTCTCCCTCTTATTCTCTGTAACTCTCTCTCAAAAAAAACTTTTTTTTAAAAAAAAAGGCCAACTTAGATCTATCAAAAAAGTGAAGCAAGTGGGCAAGCTGCCGCCCTGAAATTCCTGCCTGCAGCTGACAGGTGCAGAGAGCACAGCTGCAGTCAGCGTAGCTGAAGCAGGGGTCCTGGAGCCTGTGGCTCACAGCGCACATGCATGGGAGTGTGGATGGGCTCAGAGGCTGAGTGTGCACCTACTGGAGAACAAACCCAGTGGGGTCCAGTCTCCAGGTCACCCCACTTCCATATGTTTGTGCTCCACAGGTCCACCAGATTCTCATGGTGAAGGTCAGAGGAGAACCCCTGTGGGCCCAGGAGAGGGGGAAATGCCTATTTGGAAATACTCAGGGGAAAGTGAGCACTGTGAAGTATTCCCAGGTGTTCTTCATAACAAAGTCACATCCTCCAAGGAAACCACCAGTACCTTATGTGACTGGATAGGGGGCATCCAGACAACTCTAGTCCCCACTAGTTTTAGTAAAATAAATAGGGAGAATAGGAGGCTAGGGAAAGCTCCTGGCTCCTGGCTTCAGATCAGACCAGCTCCAGCCATTGCAGCCAATTGCAGATGGAAGACCTCTCTCTCACTCTGCCTCTCCTTCTGTCTCTGTGCAACTCTGACTTTCAAATAGATAAATAAATCTTAAAATAATAAAGGTTTATTAAAGTCAGAGACCTTCAGCCATGTGGCATGGAGGGGCAAAAATTCACTATTGTTTGTTTTTTGTTTTTTTTTTTTTAACAGGCAGAGTTAGAGACAGAGAGAAAGGTCTTCCTTCCGTTGGTTCACCCCCAAATGGCCGCTATAGCCGGCGCGCCAATCCGAAGCCAGGAGCCAGGTGTCTCCTCCTGGTCTCCCATGCAGGTGCAGGGCCCATACACTTGGGCCATCCTCCACTGTCCTCCCAGGCCACAGCAGAGAGCTGGCCTGGAAGAGGAGCAACCGGGACACAATCCAGAGCCCCAGCTGGGAGTAGAACCCAGGGTAATGGTGCCCCAGGCAGAGGATTAGCCAACTAAGTTGCGGTGCTGGCCTACAAATTCACTACTATCATTGAAAATTGACAGATTGAGCAGGAATGAAACAAGCCAGGTGGAGTTGAAATGAACAGCAGTATGAGGGCTTCAGCATGTTCCCTCCCCTTTCACTTGAAGGACCTGTGAAGGTGAGCTTATTTGGGCATGGAGTCACTGGAGGATTAACCAGTTAATATGAATTCATATTGGAGTAGCAAGGACTTGTTCCCATATGACTGGCATTTTTACAAGATGAGGAAACAGGTCCAAGATGGAAGGATGCCATGAAATGATGGGGACAGAAATTCAGGTGCTATGGTAGGCACACAGGAGGCCCAGGATTTCCAGGAAACCAGCAGAAGCTGGGAAGGGACAGGAAAGATTAGTCCTGATGGGTTTCTGTGGGAGGCTGACTATGCATAAACCTAGATTTCTGACACCCAATATCCAGACCTGTGGGAAAATAAAATATCATGTACTTCAAACTGACCAACCAACCAGGCACTTGATTATGGCAGGCCAAGAAAATTATTATCCCTCAACTAACTATTTTGATTGGCATGTAGAGACATTTCAGCCATGAGGGAAACACATTCTTCTCAGGTTCATATGAAGAAGTCTCCAAGGCAGATCAAAGTATGAGCTCTGTCGCACAACCACTCACTTAAAGAAATGTATGTCACACAGCTTGTGCCACTAGGCAACTATGGTAATACAATAGAGTTCAATCAATGCAATGAAGATTACTTGGTAAATTTTGCAAGAACTATGGAAGCTAAATAACATACTCTCCAAAACAAATGGGACAAAGAAGACTGTATAGACATTTTAAACTATTTTGAACAAAGCAAATAAAAACCCCTTTTGCAACTTTGGGTTGCAATGAAGCAGTGCTCAGAAGCAAAATGGAGCCCTTGAGTGAAATACTTTAGAAAACAATGATGATCTAAAATCAATAAGGGATTCTTACAACCTAGAAAAGTAGATGACCAAAAACAATCTGATGTACATTAGATAAAAAATGAAAAAATAGCAATTTTCTCAGAAATGGATGTAATAGGAAATGGGCAGGATAAAACAAAAAGTCAAAAAATATTTTTTTTGAAAAAAATCCATAAGATTATGAAACCTCTGCCTGTCTAAGCACAAGGCAAAAAGAGAAGAAACAATGTCTGCTACTGCAAATGAGAAGGGAATCCTCACCTTTCATGGCATGGACAGGAAAAGGAAAAGAAAAAAGTACTTTACATACTGTATGCCCACAAGTAGGTTCAACGAAGCCTGAAAGTCCTTCAGAGTCAGGAACTACCCAAACTAACCCATGGGCCCGAGCCTTTGAAGAGAGCTTTACAGCTACAAAAGGCAAAAGAAGGTGTCAGGGCCATGTGGATTCATTGGTGAACTCCAGTCAGTTTTACCAAGAAAAATGTCATCCCCATCCAAGCAAGGGGCCATAGTCCTAGGTGTTTACCCAATTAATTTAAAAAACTTTGTCCCCACAGAACCCTGCCACATGACTGTTTCTGGTGGCTTTCTTCCTGATTGCTTAAATTGGAAACCAGGACCAAGAACATTGGCCCATCTATCCAAGGGGGTATAACTCAGTGATGAAAATCATTGAGCAATCAAGCCACAAAAAGGAGCAGGAGAGTTCTTATGTATGTTACCAAATCTAATTCCAACTCTAGGAAACTGAAAAAGAATGACTAAAAAGATATTTAAAATGACCAGTTCTAGGGTCATGTTCTGGGGTCATTCAAGGGTTCTAGAAACATGGGTAAAGATGAATAACTCCCAGGACTGTACCACCAGAACCAACCTTAGTGCAGACTTGGGAGTTGAGTCAATGATAACATTTCTTTATTGGTTCAGTCTCCATAACAAATGTACCCTACTAATGGAAGTGTCATCAGAAAAAGGGAAGTGGGAGTCCAGTATGAGAACTTTAGGAGCTATCTGTTCAGTTTTCCTATTTTATCTCCAATTGTTAATATTAGCATGAAATCTGGTGGCACTCTCTCAGTAAGATGTCCATTTCAGCCCATGTTGCACAATCGGGCAAATGTCTGAACAGTACCTTGAGATGTTACTACTAACAGTGACCCCAAGTTTAAGTTGTTAACATGTCTTCCCTGTGTAGTGGTCACCTTGCTGATTGAGTTGACCAATTCTAATTTTGCAGTCATGGAATGAAAGGCACAGATAGCATAGCTTTTTAAGAGTTTTGTCTTAACTATGAGGCCCTGAATAAAGCAGAATCCTGATTGTTGAATGAGCTTCATGATTGAATTTGCAGAGTACCTTCAACTGATTCCTTTGTTGGGGGCATCCTGTTCTTTGGCAAGACACGGATTTTTCTGACCTGTGTGGAATGGACAGTCGATGTTCTTGACCTCCGACTTCCTTTTCGTCTAAAACTCTTTAGACATGATCCTGGAACAGTATGACAATACAGACAGCTGTTGACATCCCACTGACAGGAGACCACAGGGAAGTGTATGATCATTGCAGTTCCTCACTTTCTTCCCAGTTTTCCCATTCCATAGTGCAGAGCCATCCTCTAGGCGGATCTTGCAGTGTGGTTCTCAGTACTGAATTGGTTAATACGGGGGAGAGTCACTAGAACACAAGCCCAACCCCTCTCCCTGTCTCTCTTCTGTCACTCTGCTTGCTCTTCTACTTTTCCACAATGATGGGACACAACATGGGACCCTTGATATGGGCACCTGATCTTTGACTCCTAGACTTGAGTATCCTGAGCTTGGGGGTCTTCTTTCTTTGTAATTTACCCTGTCTAAGATGACATTTTAATGCCACAGAAAACTTAATATCTGTCCTTCAGAGAAAGTGGCTGAGTAGTCTCAAATCCCTGTCTGAAAAAGGCAATGTCTGTACCAACTCTGTGTTTGCACCTTCATGCCCATGACCTTTCTCGCCAAAACCCAGTCCCTAGGAACTCTTCACCTCTCTCTAGACCCTGCAGGGACAGCATACACAGTTCCCTCTCCCATTGGTGAGGTTCATCCTTCGCCAGGCTTGCCCCTTCCAACCCATGATTCTGCCTGAGGACCATCAGGCAGGCCCCTTCTCTCTGTCTTCAGATGTCTGCCCCACTGAACAATGGCGCTGTCCCTCCTCCCCATTTCCCTGTAACTCCCAAACAGCAGGGTTCATGTGTTTATCCACCCCACCCTGAAATCCCAGTTTCTTCCAATGTGACAAAAAGATATCTGGGTTCAGACTGTTCTTACAGTCTTGGTCTCAGATGGCGACCTCTACAGACAGAAGAGGCTGGCTTGAAAGTGCCTTTTTGTGTGATGTCTGTGTTGTGTTTGGTCTTAATTTTTCCTGACTGATGAGAGTAGTGTGAGTTTCTTTCCAATCATCATTCTCTGGATAAGGTGCAAACAAACTTGACATTGGAAATAATGTGTTTCTCTAAATTTAGGAAAGATTTTGAAACAACAAACTTAACAGAAGCATCAAAAGTAGAAACTGAATAATACGGATGACCAACTATCTTTATAAATCTGTAGACAGCCTGGAATGGGGAAATAACAGTCCATGAGGAGAGTGATTAAGCAGAAGGTAAGTGGCCGGTGGAGAAGCAGCATTGTGGAGGTCAGTGTGGCCTACCTGCTGGACAGCAGTTGAGATTTCCCATCGCGGACCACTCTGGATAGGACGATACGCACGTTCCCACCGCACTCAAGTTTGAACCTTTCAGCTCAAGAGAGTGACAGTTGGAATGGCAGGATGATGTCACTCACCTTGTTACCCTGGTGACAGGACACCATGGAATTTTCAAAGTGAGCCATGCCACACTGTAGGTGATGCTGTACTGCTGTCTACACACATATTTTTCAGTGTCCAAGCGTGGTCATTTTAGAGTCCAAGTTTTGTTTCCAAAACTGACTGCAAGACCCACACATTCTCATTCCCTCCTTGTGAAGTAAGTTGAGTGACTTAAGAGGATCTGTTTCCAATATAGTTGAGGTAACAGTTTGAATGAGAGGCATGACCTAGCACTGTACAGCATCATGTCATCTGCAAACATGGATATTTGGTTTCCTCTTCTGTGACATTTGAAGCTCATTGTTTCTTCAATTCTGTAATTGCTCATGCTAATACTTTCTAATTTTTAAGATATATTTATTTATTTGAAAGGCAGAGTTACAGAGAGGCAGAGGCGGAGGCAGAAGCAGAAAGAGAGAGAGAGAGAGAGGTCTTCCATCTGCTGGATCACTCCCCAGATGGGTGCAACTGCTGGAGCTGTGCTGATCGAAGCCAAGAGCCAGGAGCCAGGAGCTTCTTCTGCATCTCCCACGTGGGTACAGGGGCCCAAGGACTTGGGCCATCTTCCACTGCTTTCCCAGGCCATAGCAGAGAGCTGGATCAGAAGAGAAGCATCCAGAACAGAAACTGGCACCCATAAGGGATACTGGCACTACAGGCAGTGGCTTTACTCACTACGCCACAGCACAGCGCCCCGCTGCCCATGCTCATACTTTCAACACTATATCAAATACAAGTGGTAAAAATTGGACATCCTTGTCTTGTTCTGGATCTGCTTTCAAGTGTTCTGAATTCAGGATGATCCTGATTGCCAGTTTGTCATATACATACATGTACACACATGTAGCTGTATCATTTTGAGATATGCTGCTTGTAGAACTAATTTGTTTGAGGGTTTTATAAAGATGGGATGCTGAGTCATAATTTCTCTGCATCTATCAAGATGATCATATGGTGTTCTTGAGTCTGCTACTGTGACTTATATTTATGGGTTTGTGAATGTTGAACCACACTTGCACCTCTGGGGTAAATGCTAGTTGATCATAGTATATGATCTTTTTGATGTAGTGTTGGATTCAGTTTGCTAATCTTTTGTTGAGAATTTCTACATCTGTGTGTATCAGGAATATTGATCTATAGTTTACTTTTTATGTTATGTCTTTGTTTGGTTTTGGTATCAGAGTAACACTGGCCTCATAAGAAGAATTCAGCAGAATTCTTTCCTTTTCAGCGTTTTGGTATAATTTGCAAAGTATTGGGGTTAGTTCCTGTCTAAATGTTCTGTAGAATTCAGTTGTAAAGACATCAGGTCCTGGACCTTTCTTTGACAGGAGACTTTTAGGTACTGCTTCAATCGCATTGTTATGGTTTTCTATATCTTCTTGAAGTAATATTGGCAGATAGCGTGCACCCAGGAATTCATCCATCTCTTCAAGGTTTTCTAAGTTGACTAGCACAAAGTTATTCACAAGAGTCACTTTTTTTTTACTTTTATTTAATGAATATAAATTTCCAAAGTACGACTTATGGATTACAATGGCTTCCCCCCCATACTGTCCCTCCCACCCACAACCCTCCCCTTTCCCACTCCCTCTCCCCTTCCATTCACATCAAGATTCATTTTCGATTATCTTAATATACAGAAGATCAGCTTAGTATACATTAAGTAAGGATTTCAACAGTTTGCTCCCACACAGAAACATAAAGTGAAAAATAATAGATGATTTTTTAAATGATGATGAAATCAGATCAGACCTATTGTCATGTTTAATCCCAGTGAGAGTCAAGTTGGGAATTGATAATTTCTTATTTTTTTTTTTTACAGAAGATCAGTTTAGTATACATTAAGTAAAGATTTCAACAGTTTGTACCCCCATAGAAACACAAAGTGAAATATACTGTTTGAGTACTCGTTATAGCATTAAATCTCAATGTACAGCACATTAAGGACAGAGATCCTACATGAGGAGTAAGTGCACAGTGACTCCTGTTGTTGACTTTACAAATGGACACTCCTGTCTATGGCATCAGTAATCTCCCTATGCTCCAGTCATGAGTTTCCAAGGCTATGGAAGCCCTCTGAGTTCTCCGACTCTTATCTTGTTTAGACAAGGTCATAGTCAAAGTGGAGGTTCTCTCCTCCCTTCAGAGAAAGGTACCTCCTTCTTTGAAGACCTGTTCTTTCCACTGGGATCTCACTCACAGAGATCTTTTTGCCAGAGTGTCTTGGCTTTCCATGCCTGAAATACTCTCATGGGCTTTTCAGCCAGATCTGAATGGCTTTAGGGCTGATTCTGAGGCCAGAGTGCTGTTTAGGACATCTGCCATTCTATTGGCTATCTGTTGAATTTGCCTGTTGTTATCTAGCTGCCTTTGTTTGAAGTTTTCTGATATTATTTCATTGGAAACACCTTCCAATCCATTCTCTCTTTCCACCCCCTCAGGGACTCCTATTATCCAAACATTACACCATTTTATTGAATCTTGTAGGTCTCCGACATATTTTTTAATTTTTTAATTTCTTCTTCCTGCGTTTGAACTGACTGTATTATTTCTGGAAGTTTGTCTTTGAATTCTGATATTTGTCTTCTGTTTCATCTGTTTGATTTCCGGGAGATTCCATGGTGTTTTTTATTTGGTCAATTGAGTTTTTCATTTCCAGTATTTCATTCTGGCTTCTCTTTAGGATCTCTAATCCTTGGGCTTGTTTTTCGTTCAGCTCTCGACACTGTTTCTCATTATTTCTAAGTATTCTGATTATTAATTTTCTGAATTCTTTTTCTGGCATAGTTTCAAATTCTTCCTCTTCAGCGTCTGTTATGGTTGGTTTAGCCTGCTCCATTGTA